TGCACCGGGCCTCTAGTCCTATATAATAAAAGGCTAATATGCAAATTGTCCCCTGGTGAGTTTGACCAGGAGACTGGGAGTTCGATTGCTTGCTATGACATATGCTGACCACCAGGGGGGTGGCACGGAACATGGCAGGCAACCAGTGGCTAAGGCGGGGCGGAGCAAGGAAGGAGGAGGCGGGGAGGCTGGGAGGCAGGGAACCTGATTGCAGGCCAGGCCTAGGGACCCTACCCATGTATGAATTTTGTGCACTGGGCCTCTAGTATCAATATAATGGAAAACTATGCTGCTATTAAATGAATTAGGTAGATCTATCTGTATTATAATAGATGTCTAAATGAAAAAAGAAAATTATGGAACTATGCTTTCATCTGTGTTAGAAAAAGCAACAAGTATTTCTTTTCTAGGAGTTATATATAAAACCCAAAATATTAGATATATTATTCCTGAGCCTAGGTCACTGGATTAATTTTGGTTCTGAGCCTTCACTGCACCAGCCCTCAATGTATAGGAATGTGAAAGAAAGCAGAACCTAAGTTATAGGATCTACATCTACAATGAAGTTCCTGCCCCACCAACAAAGGGGAATATTAGAGGGAAATTTCAGCACCCTTCTGAAATAGTCAGAGACCTGATACTCACTGGATATCCAAACATACTGTTGAATTCCTCATTGTTGGCTTGCAGATATCTCTCTTGTTCTAAGAAAGAGGAAAGAAATGATGAGAAGGATGCTTCTCTGTAGATCAGTCTGGGATGCTGGCTGCTAGTGAAGATTCATTACCTCACACTTTCTTGCTGAGGATATCTGTTTAAAAATGGGATTTTTGTCTCTTTATTCAAAGAATCAAGAAAGCCCTGGCCAGTGTGGCTCCGATGGTTGGAGCATTGTCCTGTGCACTGAAGGACACGTGTTTGATTCTTGGTTAGGGCACATACCCAGGTTGTGGGTTCAATCCCCAGTAGGGGCACTTACAGGAGGCAACCAATTGATGTTTCTTTCTCACACCAATGTTTCTCTCTCTCTCTCTCTCTCTCTCTCTCTCTCTCTCTCTCCCCCACCCCTCTCCCTCTCCTTCTCTCTCTCTAAAATCAATAACAACATATCCCCAGATGAGAATTAAAAAAAAAGAATCAAGAAATACAATCAAAATAAAACCCTCAAGAGTTTCAGTTTTCTGAAGGCAACAGGACAAGGCTGTTATAAACATTCATGTGCAAGTTTTTGTGTGGCCATGTTTTCATTTCTCTTGGGTATATGCCTAGGAGTAGAATTGCCGGGTCATATGACAATTCTATGTTTAATTTTATGAGGAACTGCCAAACAGTTTTTCACAGCAGTTGCATTATTTTATAATTGCATTATTTTACATTCCCTGAACAATGTATGAGGGTTCTCATTTCTCCGCATCCTTGCCAATACTTGTTAGTGCCTGCTTTTTATTCTAACCATCTTAGTGGATGTGAAGTAGCATCTCACTGTATTGCCAGCATGTAACATGGTCATTGGCATTCATTTTGTGATCAATAAATATTTGTTGAATAAATAAGTCTTTATTGATGATTACTACATTCATTTGCCTTGAATTTACTACTCCCTACAATATTCTGCTCTCTACCTATTAATCTGTTCGTAAGAACACCAGGAGAAATTGGTCAGTTCATTTGTTTTCCTCAGCCCTTTCTCCTTTAGCAGCTATGAGAATAGGAGAGAACTGCCTGGTTTTCCATTGGTTGGGACTTCACTGACTTTCTCTTCCTGAATCTAGGGCCTGTGCCTTGGAATGGACTTCTTTCTGTAACTCAGGCCTGTGCCCTTAGAATAGGCTCCTCCAGGAATCAGACAACTGCACAATGACAGAAAGTAAAGAAGATAAGTGTGGCCTTAAATCAGTGACCTGATTTCATTCTCTGCACCTTCTCTATTCCCCAAAAGAAAGCTGAAATATATAATTACATTCTGGCTTGCTTTTTCAAAATTTTATGTTAAAAAATTTACCTTTTCCCATGTCAGGCAGTTTCACTCTGAAAGCTGGCTTGGGTGTGATTACCCCAGTGCCCCTTAGTTCTTGGCTTCACCGAAGGAAAGCATGGAAGTAAATGAAAATACTTCCTGACACCATAGCCATAGCCATTTGCTGTGGCCACAAATAGGCAGCAAAGCTTAACCTTATCTGCCTTGGCAATTTCTTTTCACACTGACCACTTCTTTTTAGCAGGAGGCAGTTGTGAAGGATGGGGAGAGGAAAAGAAACACATGCTTTCCTGGTGAACTTCCAAATGAAAGTACAAAAGATGAGAGATTGTAACTACTCCAGTTAGAATTCTCAGATGTCAAAACAGTAGACCTTATACTAGTAAGTACAAAGTATTTACTTTTGTAAAGCATATTTTCTCTACTGGTCAGCTGTTGTGTAGATTAGTAGTTTGACTGGTAGACTGGCTAGTCTGTTTATCTGTTATATGCAAGCACACATTTTGTAGAGGCAATAATAATGACATGCAGACTTAGATATCTAAGGTGAGTTCACCTACCTCCACCACTTTGTCTTTCCTCACTCCGGCTTTCACATACAGACATTGCAAAGTAGTACCAACTATAATTTGATAGAATTTCTATAAAGGAAATAAAAAGATTTAGAATGAGAATTTCTCATGCCAATAACATTTCACTTAAACATGCTCTTAAGTAACAAGGAACTTGATCTCTGAAATTGAAAATAATCTACCTCTAAGATAGATATGCTAAATTTTAGAATTCATTTCATATGTCCTCAACATAAAGTTATATTTTCAAAGCTTGGGAAACAGATTTCAATTCCTGGCAATTAAGTGTAAACTGATGACCACAATCTGTCAGACAAATTATCTGAACCTTGGAAACAGGTAAAAGAAATCAGGTGATCTTTCAGTGTAATTCTGGGATTACACCTTTGATTAGTTTTCTACTGACTGGACTATACTATAACTCCGTAGGGCAGAGGTTAACTTATATATATATTTATTCAGTAGAGATACAAATATTTAAGTCTGGTGAAAAATATAACTCCAAAGGTTATGATTTATGGACTTTAGGACTTTAATAGTTTTGTGTATAATTCAGTAATCTTATCTTAACATTTCTTTATTAAATTGCCTATAAATGCTTAGCTCCTATATTTTCACTTCAAGAGGTCTTAACATCTTACTTGCTTCCTCATAAATTAATGAGTTTAATAAAATCTTTGATACCTGTTCATTTTATATATATGAGAGTCATGTTCCTTAACCTTTTAAAAGTTATAATTTATCAAATCCCATGAGTTTGCTACACAGAAAAATCCCTTCTTTCTCTCCATCCTTCACCCAATTCAGAAAAGGCCAATAAAGTATATTTTAGTTAATCGATTTTTTTTCAGGTCTCCTAATTCACTAAATGTGGATAAGCCAAGATTAGAAAACTTTACAGGCATTTTCATCTTAATCATCCCAAACAAGATTAGATGGGGGTGGGGGTGGGGGGTGGGAATCACTTGAGGGAAGTGTAAAGTCCAAGTAAAAGGGATTCCCGGGAAACCAAGAGATATTCAACCATCAGAAAACCACAACAAAACTCTGGACAACTATGATCACTTTGGAATGAGAATGAGATTCCAGTTCTGCTCTCTGTGAATCCCAAGTGACTTCATTAAGGATACAGTTGCATCAAATAACTTCAGGAGTCAGGGAGTTAACAGCAGTTAGGTGTGAAACAGCAGAAAACAAAGCGCTGGGTTTTGTGACAAATTGGTGCCTTCTATAAAAGTATCCAAATACGAAAAAGAAAATTAAACACTGTGCAGGCCAAATAAAATTCACTTGTGCTTGTTAGCTACAAGTTTTGTACCCCAACCCAAGGTTCCTATTTCTTCTGTCGATAGAATCGGTGTTCTCCTACCCAATGTCAGTAGTTCTAATATCACCATTCTCTAAGCATCCAGTCTTACTCTTAGCTGCCTATACCCCCTAGGTAGGCTTGGGGTTCCTACTGCTGCTGAGAAAGGAGAGCCAAGGATGGGATGTCCTGAAGTTCTGGATTCTCTCCAATCCCTGCAGGGCCATCAAGCAGTTTTGAGAGGGCAGTCGGGCCAAATCCACACAGTAGCACAGCTTGGAATGTGAAATGGTTAGAAGGCACTAAGCCAGTGGGCACATGAGTAATGACTGTTTGGCTGGAATCAGACACTCACCCCATCTTGTGACATTCTCTGCAGGCACATCACATTACATAGCAGCCGACTGGAAAGTACATTTAATCTCAGAAGAAGGAAGGAAGAATGTGAGGGAAGGAATATAAGAAATGGGATGTGTGTGGGTGGGGAGGGGAAGTAACAGAGGGAAGAGGATTAGGAGCCAGAGAACTGGTTTTATATCAAAGTTGGATACTAAATAATGATAATGTGATTTGGGGTAAGTTACTAACTATTTTATGCCTCAAATTTCATCTAGATAGGTTAACGCCGGAGTTTGCTGCCTCGAACAACCACTTCAAAAATACAACTAAAAGACGGAACGGACATCATCCAGAACCACAGGAAGGCTGGCTGAGTGGAAGTTCTACAACTAGGAGGAAAGAGAAAAGCATACCGAGACTCAGAGGAGGCGCAGTGCTGAAGTGAAATACTAAGGTGCGGAGTGCATGTGGAGCCGGCCAGCGGCGGAGGGCGTGGTTGTTGTTTTCAATCAGGAGGGAGTTTCAGACTCTGAGCTCCAGATCCGGGCGAGTCTCTAGGGACCCAGACTCAAACGGGAGAAGCAGGACTGTCTGGCTACGGTCCCTCCGAGGTTTGCAGCGGTTGCTGGGACAGAGAGGCAGAGCCCCTGGGGACGGACTGAGAGCAGCCATAACTGCTCACTCCGCCCGCCCTGTAGATCCCCTGGGACCCGCCCCGCCCAAGCCCTGCACAGAGCCATTTTCCGGATCACCTCAGGCAAAGGCTAGATTAGCACCTCCCTACAGGACACAAGTTCTTCCACTGCAGACACAGCTGATTAACACAGCCAGT